GTTAACTTAAATAAGCAAAAAATTGTATAATTTTAAAACATTATATATATATATATATATTAAAATTTTAAAATTATTAATTTTTTAATGAAAAAGTAAAATCACATAATTATGATATTTGAGGGACTGAAATTGTTCAATTAAAAATCAAGAAACTAAAATTGCACTATTGCAATCTTTGAAAGACTAAAATTAATTAATTAAAATTTTGAGATCAAAATTACACAATTGCAATACTTAAGGGATTAAAAATACAATTAAGCTTTTATAATATTATTAATTACTTATGAGACAAAATTGGTCATGTTTAATAACTTCATAATATTACTAATAATGGTAAGTGTAAAACATAATATCCACAAAATTTTAAATTGGAAATCTACTATCATAATTATACTTTTAATAAATAAAAAAATATTAATTATTTGTGACATAGTTATTCATATTTATATATTTCAAAAACCTCATTATGAAATTACTAACCATTTGAAATTTGGTACAGCATTAAAAAGTATTCTCGCTTAATTATTTAAATTAAACAATAAAAAATCAAATACTAAAATAAAATTACTATCAATTAGTTTTATCAATTAATTTTTTAAAATATTTATCTCCATGGGTCAAAATTACAATCAAACAATAAGTGTTAATTAACAACGTTTTATTACCTCTTAAACCGTAAATTTAGGCATATAATTACGATTAATAATACAGAATTAAAATAAATAAATAAACCATAACTTATCAATTGAAATTTGTTGCTATATAATAGTTTATTATTTCTTTGATTATGTAACAACCCGCCATGATCCTTATATTTAGTGGAATTGTACTAACTACGTTAGTTGGCTAAGAGAAACTATTGAACTGGATAACACATACATACGTGTATATATATATATATATATAAATATATATATATATATATATATATATATGTATGTATGTATGTATATATATATATATAATAAGAAACCTCAAAACTATATACAAAATGGAATGTTATGTATATATAGTCATCCAAAATAATAAAATTCTTCTAGTGTCGGTTAAGCACATACTACTAGTTACTCAGAACGGTAACATAATCTTGACACTAGGACAAAACTCCAGTATCCAGCAGCAGTTAGCTCCAACCTAACCCTGACCTGCTCCCATACAAGGTATGATCATCGCAGTCCATCCACATGGAAATAGAAAGGGTAAGTTAGAGTTCAAAAATCTATCATGCAAGCAAAAGTCTACAATTATACAATACAATCATCATATCACCTAACATATTCATAGAGTCAAAACAATGTACCCTATCACATAACAATCATGCAATAAATGCAACTCATGATAGATATAAATGCATATCAATCATCTAATGCGACGTCACGCATTCACCTAGGAGATCTACCTAACAACAGAGCAATATAAGTGACGTCTCATCCTACCGAAACCACCTCAACTGTTTTCATGCCCAATACACTCGCTTGGTCACAACAAATTGGGATATCAAATCCCCACTCGGGTTTACTCAAATGACATCATTTACACACTTGAAAATCTGATTCCACCGTCAGGTATAGCATAGCTGAGTATAAGCTTACAACAATCTTGATATGCATTACCAAGTCACTTGTGGAGTTCGTCCATTGACTATCTGCAAAGAACCACACACCTTCCCCGATAATTAATTAAGGGAATAACCCTTAACGTCATATCATCGCTCTAACACTAATTAAGGACTTAGAGGAGACTCACCCAAACTAGTGGCTTGTACCAAACA